TTTTTCTGATAAGTCTATCATAATGAGCTTAGTGTCAGACTCCGCCTACTCTGATGGTATGTGCCATTTGTAAAATAAAATAGAGCAGAAAAGTACAAAAAGAAAACTGGTTCAGATATTCAGTGGGCATATAAATTATGTACTGCAAAATAATGATTTTTATTCAAGAAAGCTTTAAAAGTTTTATATCCAGATATACAGCCACAATAAAGCAAAATAACCTATCAAAATAGAAATGTTGCTATCTTTATAAGTGCAATTTAATTTGTAAATAGAGTTTGAATCAAAGTATCACAAAATACTGCTTCAATATTTAATTTTAAATCTGCTAATTTAAGGGATTTTGGGATAAGTTTTGGTGTGTTTCTGTTGATTTATTTTTTGTATGCTGTGATAAAAGAGAAATGAAAAGTACCAGTCACTGTGTGGTGTCTAGGAAAATCATTTTTTTTTTCTCCATGAAATAAATTCATCCTGGACATTGGCCATACAGCTTTTTAAAAAATTATTACTTTGTATGTTCAAGTGATAGCAGGTATCTAAATTCTTTGACAATGTGCTCTGGTCTATTAAATATCTAAATTACTCGTCAGTTATGAGTAACCTCCTGTGGGACTTGCATCTACACAGGGCAGAACCCAGAATTACCTTTGACTGTGGCTTGTAACTTTGGGTTGTGGCTATCTGGCCAACTGTACTTCTTAGAAACCCATTTTCAATCAACCAAATACAATACTTTCTTTTACTTCTGTACATTTATTTGTTGGGTTCACTTGGCTGTTTAGGCTGTGCGTATGTAAATATGTGTGTATTTTTTTAAACTATGGAGCAGAAAGTATGTAACATGTATGTGAGTTTCCGCTAGTCAGTTTTATACTTGTTCCGTAATCTGTGTATACCAGTTTTCTTGTCTCTATTTTAAGATTTTTGACGTCCTCTATTTTGTTTTATGCTTATAAAGATGATGCCACTAACTCATGGGCTGATTATATATAAGCAAATTGGTTTTATTTAATGAGAATTGTCTTGATGGAGAAGAACAACTAGAACGTGCATGGCGTGTTTTGCTTGTTTTTATATAAAGCCCACCCTTTGCTATCAGTTCATCATGGCTTTAGTTGACCGGAGGTGTTCAGAATGGCGTGTATGTGTGCTTAAATTTTCCTAAGAAATGTCATGCACCTGGTTTATTTCCTTTGGCCTGTCTCCGTTAGTTCATGTTCACTTGGCTTGCTTTTTGTTTTCAGTTTGGGGGATTTTGTTTGTTTCCCTTCTTCCTTTGAGAGGGAAATGTCACTTTGATCTTAATCTTTTATGCTGGTGACACTGCAATGCTCTGGAACTTCAGGGTGCTGGAACCAAACTGAAGCTTCACAGTGGAAACAGCACCAACCAGACAGTTCTACCTTGAGAACATGCCAAGCCTATTCCAAGAAGTATCCTCTCATAGTTATAAGAAAAACTTGATTGTGTGAAAGGCTACCTTTCTCTGTCAGTGACCCCCCCACCCCATCCAGCCCTTCCTTTAGGAAAGGGAGGAGTACAGTGTATGTATGGCTAGCTGTTTGTCTTGTGGGAGTGATAGGTGAAAGCAGGAAAGGAGGTTAGTATGACCTGTTCAACTACTTTGTTTTCCCCATAGCTAGTTATTTCTTTTTAGCAAGAAAATTATGTCTCAGCGGGTAAAATAGCCAAAAAATGAAAGAAAGTTAAATAATCAAAGTCATTGATAATGAAAAGAGGGACTGGTAAGAAATTATAAAATGTTTGCCTGGATATTGTTTGTTTATTTGTTTTCTGGAAAGTTTGGAGTACGGGTCCTGACCAACCCAGTCTTTCTGTCTAAAAACATACCAGCTGGCTGTCAATGAGGTGAGCAGGCAAGGTGGGATCACTCGCACCAGCCTCACACAGCAACATTTCTGCCATCACTTGTGAAATCTACCACACCCAACAAGACATGCTTAGTGAGTGGGGTGGAGGCTGGGAAAATTCTGATTCTGAGAGTTACTCTGAACAGCCAGTTCTGCCCTGGTGAAAATGTCAGGCACAGTGGTTCACGTCTGTAGTCCTAGCACTTTGGGAGGCTGAGGCAGGTGGATCACAAGGCCAGGAGATCGAGACCAGCCTGGCCAACATGGTGAAACCCCGTCTCTTCTAAAGTCAAAAATTAGCCGTGGTGGCATGCGCCTGTAATCCCATCTACTCAGGAGGCTGAGGTAGGAGAATTGCTTGAACCCAGGAGGTGGAAGTTGCAGTGAGCCAAGATTGTGCCACTGCACTCCAGCCTGGGTGACAGAACAAGTCTCTATATCAGAAAAAAGAAAATGACTGACGCTGTGCTCTGGGTGTGCTGCTGCTGTGTGGCAAGGCTGCAGCAGCGCTGTCAAACAAGAGACTGTGCATTGGAGCTGCTTATTAATAGAAGGTGATTAGGGACATTGCCGCTCACTGACATCCACGGAGACTTGAAATCTCACCTCATCATTATTGTTGTCTTACCTCATCCAATTTTCCAGAGAGCCAATTAAAAACAGATAACCTCATAGAAAATTCAAAACATACAAAAAAGAAAAAATTCAAAACAGCAGAAGTAGAATCATCATTGATCCTGCTATAGCTATCACTCACTTTCAATAATTAGCAAGACAAGACTAAGGCATTTATCAGGAACCAAATGTGTTATGCATGTATTTAAAACATATATCATGTTTTTAAATACATCTATAAGAAAGTGACTGCACAATGCAGCATTAAAAAAAAAAAAAGCTCTGGAAAAGTGAGCAAATATGGTTCCTAAAACTGCTCTGGAGTTAGTTTTTGAGTCAAGATAGCATGCCAGTGGAATCATGCATATGGATATAGGTTTGAATCCAGCCCTGCCATGTAAGTTTGGACAGACTGTTTAATCCCTCTGGGCCTCAGGCACTTCATCTCTAAAATGGGGCAGTAATACTCTTTATAGGCTTAGAGTGATACATAAAACATAAGCTCTCAGGAAGGGGGTGGCTGTAATTATTACAGGTCGTGCTGTTGTTCTTGTTACAGTAGTGTTATTAGAAGCTCTGCAGTTCCTGCCGCCAAGCCAACAGTGTGTCATCAGATGGGCAGTGTTCTTAGGAATGAGGACCGACACGAGTTCTGATGGAGAAAACGTCATTTGAAAACTGTTTCACCTGTGGTTTTATATATAGACTCCTGCATTATGTAATGGACAGTGATTTTAATTTTTCCTGTGTGCTTACCTATGCAGGTAATGGTAGGTGTAGAAATGGTCTCATGGTAACCTCCGCATTTTAACCAGGCTTACTAACTAGCTATCCTTAAGGTAAAACTAGATCAAACCAGGAAACCATAGGCAGCTATTTGAGAAAAGGGTCTCCTTTTCCAGAAAATGTTCCAGAGGGGGCTCTTTGTCATATCCTTGGTTTTGTAGCTTCAGGTCTCTGGTGTTCATTTTGCCTTATCTCTACAGTATTTCACCCTGGATTTTCATAACATCTCTTTTTTCACCTCTTGCATTGTTCTGTCTTCTTTCTCTCAGAGGAGGGTTTCACGTATCAGGAGGGACAAGTCAGTTTAAGACATGGATCATCCAGGGACAAAAACCTGTTGGAACAAATAAATTAGTACAGCCTGACTTGGAGCATGTAGAGAACACTCCCATCTTGTTGGAGTGGTTTCTTTTTTAAAAAAGCAGACAGCTGGCGGGAAAGGGAAACCAGAAGAACCTGATCTGTTACTTGTGTTCAGTGGGCTGAGTGGAAGATTCGAGGTTTTGTGTTTGGCAGTTGGCCAGAAGGATAGCGTAACTTTAAACTCTGAGAGTGGGCAGTCATTGTGACAGGCATGGATTTTAGCCAGGGGCTCTTGAGTTCTGACTGGACAAGAATCTGACTGGTGGGTCCTCCAAGATTTTTTTGTTTTTATTTTTTTCTTTTGAGACAGAGTCTTGCTCTGTCACCCAGGCTGGAGTGCAGTGGCACAATCTCGGCTCACTGCAATCTCCACCTCCCAGGTTCAAATGAGTTTCCTGACTCAGCCTCCCGAGTAGCTGGAATTACAGGTACATGCTATCATCTAATTTTTGTATTTTTAGTAGAGATGAGGTTTCGTCATATTACCCAGGCTGGTGTCAAACTCCTGGCCTCATGTGATCCACCTGCCTAAGCCTTCCAAAGTGCTGGGATTATAGGTGTAAGCCATTGTTCCTGGCCCCAAATTTCTTTTGCGGCATCAATATTTAACGTCAACAAAAAACGAGCTGCTGTTTTTTACAGCAAGATAGTACTATGAACTACAGTAACTGTTCACTGGGTACTTACTATGTGCCCCACACTGACATAGCTGAACACAGCCTCAACTTTCCAGAACACCACCATGAGGCAGGTGGTGGCATTTCCATTGTGTACAGCAGATAATTAAGACTCAAATAGTTTTAGGAATGTGCCCAAGATCAAACAGTAAGGGACAAAGTTGGAATTCAGATTCACATCCCCGTTGACATTTCAATCAACCCTTTATTTTGCTTTGCTCGCCTCCCCCAGCCAAAGCACTGTGAACCTGTAATTACATTTAGAGTTGTATTTATCATAATGGTGATGGTTCTGTTTTTATCAAAATTATGTAGGCCTATAGACAAAGACTGGCATGGAACCGAGCAACATTTAATGAAATTGATGCAGAATTGGGCCTTCATTTGTGCCTAGTGGTTGCTAACACTATGATTCTGCATTCTCTAACCAAGGGGTCCCCAACCTGTACCCCAGGGACAGGAACCTGTTCTTGTTCTGCTAGGAACTGAGCCGCACAGCAGGAGGTGAGCAGTGGATGAGTGAGCATTACTGCCTGAGCTCTGCCTCCTGGCAAATCAGCTGCAGCATTAGATTCTCATAGGAGTGCAAACCCTATTGTGACCTGGACATGCGAAGGATCTAGGTTGCACGCTTGTTATGAGAATCTAATGCCTGATGATCTGTCACTGTCTCCCATCACCCCCAGATGAGGCCATCAAGTCACAGGAAAACAAGCTCAGGGCTCCCATTGATTATGGTGAGTTGTGTAATTGTTTCATTATATATGACAACGTAATAACAATAGAAATAAAGTGCATGGTAAGTGTAATGCACTTACACTGAAGCCATTCCCCCTTACTGCTCCATGGAAAAATTACCTTCCATGAAACTGGTCCCTGGTGCCAAAAAGGTTTGAAATCCCTGCTCTAACCATCCTGCCACCTTCATTCACTTCTTGTATGTTGTCCTGGGTTAAGTGCTGTGGAAATGTTCATGGGGTCTTTGTTCTACCATCTCAAACTATATGCAAATACTAAGCAACTTGGGAGATAAAGTATTTGGCTAGTGGGAAAAAAAATGGATATTTTCAACATTAACTAGAGTGACAGTTTGGTAATCAGCTCTCTGAGAAAGCTTCAACATCTTCCAAAAATTGGCAGTGAGCTCCAGAGTGAGCTAATTAGTCAGGAATGACTTTTAATACTCACTACCTTTAATAGCCTATCCTTGGAGAAAAGACAGATAATGAACACTTGGAAATCTATGGTGCTGCAACTTGACCTTCATGCCATTTGGGGGAAATAAGAAAGATGACTCATAATTTATTATTTAAAGTCCTCTTTTTATAAAGGGTTGTTGTGAAAGATTTGACAAATAATCATTGCCCCTTTAGGAACTCTCATTTAATCAAAGAAGCAGAAAACAGGAAGAATAGAAAACTTGTGTGACTAAGCAATGTTTAATTTTATTTGAAACTGGCTCCACCACCCGGTGATAGAGAAGGTCCTATGGAGTCTTCCCATGGCAAGAAACCGGGCTTGTAACAGGGTATAATAGAGTGACACCCCACACCTGATGCCGTGTAATGCAGAGTCTGCAAATACCTCTCTTTTGATGCTTTCTCAAGGTAAGTCATAAATGAGGTCTTACTGCTTTAAAAAAGCAGCTTGCCAAAAGTTGCCCATTCACTCGCACTTAACTGAGCAACTGAAGGAAATATACATTGGAAATGGGCTCTCCTGGGAGACTGTCTGGATCCCGAGTGTCTGGTGTTCATGTTCACACACCTGGCAGCTGCTTCTTGCCCTTCCTTGGCTGTAGGTGTGAGCACTTGTTTGTTTAAACCTCCCTCAGCACTGCTTGGAAAAACAAAACAACTGACTTACTTGTCTGGGCATTGAATGATCTTCCTGAATTTTGGTCCTGCCCATTGGCCCAGAGGCATAATAGGTGGGGCAAGTTTCGGTGTTAGTTTGGGAAGTTTCGAGAAGAAGCTATGGGCTGGGTCTGTTAGGTTGGGGTTGCTCTTGGTTTTAATTCTTTTGGAATGTCTGAGGGTCAGGAGTGTTGCCATTGATGGCTATGGGAGGTGTCAGGCTCTGGCTCTGTCTCTTTCTCACAGAGAATGGCAGAGGCACCCAGGAAGGTATTTTCCAGGGTTCTGACAGATGTGAAGTAGCCCTCATGCATGTTGTGTTCTCACTTAGGCACCTGGAAGGTGTTCAGTGTAGAAAAATCACGAGCTAGATGACATGACCAGCTTGATGTCGACTTCCTCCCCATCAGTGGCTGCCTGTCGTCTTGATGCATGCCAGCAGGTAAAAGGGGTTTGCCCCTGGGACCTGGGTAGCAGCAGTCCTTGGGAAACCCAGGGTTTGTCACCTGTGGTCACATGACCCTGGGTAAATTACCTAACCTTTTATTCTGCATCTCAAGAATAGCACATCTATGTAGCAGTTAGGTTTTTAGAAGAAATGATGTTGACAACCAAATATAAAGCTCTGATATGGTTCTTTTCTGCTATCATCACTACTTTCTCTTTAAAGAACCAGTACAATGTGAGGGGCAGAAAAACCACATCATGCAATGATGTCGCTCAGTCAGGCATACAGGTGGAGAAGAGTCATCTCTACCCTTAGCTCCTTAGGTTTGTCCAGGGCTGCTCAGTGTGGCTGCGCCTGTCTTGCTCACTCTCATGTAGCCTGGCACCTACTGGAGTATCCTTTTCTTCTTTAAGGCTATTGTGCAGTAGTTTCCAAACTTGAACATGCATCAGAGTCCCCAGGTGGCAATGTTAAAGCTGATTGCAGGATCGCACTCTCAGAGTCTGATTGCGCAGGTCTGCAGTAGGGCCTGAGAATTTGCATGTCTCTAACATGTTCTTATGTGCTGCTGCTGCTACTGGGAACATACTTAGAGAACCACTGCTCTAGTGTGCTGGGAGGAGCAGGGGCTTTAGAGTTAAGCAGACCTGAATTTAAATTCAGCTATGGCACTTAATGTTGTGAGCTTGAGAGGTTTTTCTTAACTTCTCCAAGTCTTAGTGAACTCATCTGTAAAATGGGAATAATACTTACTTCAAGACTTTCTGGAGAATTAGATGACAGAGCACATTGAAGGTTTTCAGCAATTACCACTCTTTCTGCTATCCTGAAACGCATCATATTTGCTCCATATGGGGAGGCATAAGAGCATTTGATCTTAGCCATGTGCTGAACTTTAGGCTCCTCTTGCTAATCTATACAAGCTAAGAGAAGTAGAGGAAGTGCTAACAGAAGTAGAACGCATGCTTACCTCTGGATGAGTGCCTAAGGAAAAGACTGAAAATGCAGATGGCCAGATGTGGTTGGAATATATTAACACTTCCTGACTTGCCTGCTGTCATATCAGCCCACACACCGTGAACTTTCAGTGAGCAGGAACCAAATCTTATTCATTTGTGTGTCTGTGCCAGACATTCAGGTCAAAAACCTCCCAACCCACAATCTATCCTTATACCTGGACTTTTGGGAGAAATCTTCCAATCTTGGTATTTTAGATTGGGAGACACCCAAGCTCAGGATCTCCAACCTCATCTGTATTCTGCATGTAGCATGACAATCATTTTAGTGTCCTGAGGAAAAAAGTTGCCTTATTCAACTCTTCCAAGGTCTCATCACTCTCTCCAAATTCATTATCCCCTTGCCACCCTAAGGATGATCCTCAAAATGGCAAAGTGGTATGGAAATATATGGTAATATATAGATCAATACACATATTTTAAAAGCTGTCCCTTTTTATTATCTAACGTAATATTCTATGTATCATAAAGCTACTTCCCTAGAGATCTGAGTAGTAGTTCTAATCATTAATCATGTTGTAATTTTCAAATAATTATTGGTCTTTGTGGCTTCTTTCATCTAGGTGGTTGCTGTCTAAACGATGCCCTTCCCTGGGCCACCATTTGTGTTTGGAACAACATCAAACTTTTTTTGATAGTATTCCTATTAAAATACTCAAGTCCAGGGGCTCTTAAACAATGACCCATTGCCTGTTTTTATGAGTAAAGTTTTCTTGGAACATGGCTATGTCCATTTTTAAGTATACAGAGACCAAATGGCACTCAAAGCCTAAAATATTTGTTATTTAACCCTTTATAGACAGTTTGCAGGAGTTTCTGCCTCTAGTCAATAGGTGCAATCTACTATCTTTTGCCACCAGAGGGCGAAGGATGTGTCGCCTGGTTAGCACAGCCAGACACCTGTCTGGACAACCAGGCTTTCCAAATGGGCGAAACTCAGAGATCCTGTTCTTTGTTCTCTACCAACAGCATGACCTGCCCTGCCACTTGCTCTGCCAACATCAGGATGCTTTGCAGCAAATGCCTGGGGCCACCCCCTTCTCAGACTGCTCAGGAGCTGGAGCACACCCTCAACACTCTCTTGGGTCCCATTGTTATTATGTTTGGGGACCCTACTGTTATCTTACATTTCTATTCAATTGTCTTAAAGGATGGGCTGTGTGCCTGGCTGAGCGACATCATTGCATGATGTGTAGACCCCGTGATTGAAACTATTTAGCATCCTGTAGGAAGAGATGCAATATTTTAAGAATGGCTAAGGCAGCACATTGCACATTTAGATACTGAATGTCAGCCCTGACTCATGGAAGAAATAAAGGCTTTCATGAGTGAATTGCCAGATTTTATTCCCTACTACCCACAGCCACCGAATGCCTTTGCTGGACTCTCTCCTCTCCCAGACCTCACTTCCTCATCCCAGCTAGTTCTTCCAGCCATTCTCTGATCCTTTTTTTCTTAGAGTTTATTCCATTGATGATCCATTTTATCCTGTATTTCAGCAGCTGCTATAAACATGTTTACGTCCCATTCTAAATGAGCAAAAAGCCTTGATCATCTAGCTCAAAAACCTAGAGCCACTGCACCCCGCTCTAATAGGCATTGTTTCTAAATCCTTGTGGCTACTTTTACTCAACTTTTATAGTCTCAAGTGTTTTCATTACAATATCATTACAATATTTGAATTGGGAATAGGGAATTGAATTGGCAAATAGGGAAATTATTTTTTGATTACTACCTGAAGACTTATTCTAAAGACAAGTTTACTTTTTGCTTTTAACTTTGAGTCCCCGAGAAATAGACTCTTAAGTCCCCTCCATCGTTGTCTTCTTTACTTTTTTCTGCAAAGGTTCTTAAAACAGGTCTATTCTTGTTCTTCCCACTTCTAAGTTTCTGCGCACTACCGTGAAAACTCTGCCTTCCATACCCAGCATGGTGGAACAGCTCTAGCCAGGTCAGCAGACCTCTTTGGGGCCAAAACTGATGGACACTGATTTAGCTCTTGCCTTTCTAGACCTGCCTGCTGCATTTGACTCTGTGGAATGCTCCCTCTTTCTCCAAATTTCTACTTGGTTCTTGAAGGAAACTGTTAGGTAGTAACCCAGTAAACACATACATGTACACAGCTGAAACTGAAGTTTCCCAACATAGTACTTTAACTATGTGCAAGAAATTCTGATATTTCCAATTTTATCATTTTTTAGTGCTCATAAAAATCAAATAAATTAATTTCATAACTCATCAACAGGTCATGTCTTGTAGCTTGAACCCTTATGCCTTTGACACGCCTTCCTCTGTAATGAGTAAGGAAGTTTCTAGGAAGCTTCTTATCAGTTGATTAACATCAAACATATAGTTTAAGCTGTAAAAAGTCTTGTTGGAGGAAACTCATTAGCTTGGATGCGAGTGGGAGGAAGGTAAAGAAAAATGAGATGTAATAGGTGTCTGTGGGTGTTGATGGGGTGAAAAAGGGCAGTGATGAGAGGAAGACTGGGTTTGTAAATAGCACATGTAGGGAGGCAAAGAGGATGATTACAAAAGCAGGAGGCAGAAATCTGCCTGCTAGACAGGCCTATTGTGAAAATTAACTTTCAAAGTGGAAATATTATTTCATTGTGTCTATTGTAACTTTTGGAAGAAAGAGATTGTATTAATATGAAATAAGAATCACATATGGTATTTCTCTGCCCAATTAAAGATTGATGAAAAAACTTCACCAAAGCTGGAGCATTTTCAGTAGAGATCCCCATTTTCTTTGCCACTTGACAGTATATTCCAGACGAGATTTCTCCACTGCATTTATGCATCACATCTAGTTAATCATTGGAGAACTCTGTGTGCTTCTTAGGCTGACAGCATTTCAAGCAGAACAGAATTAGCCTCAGAAACTGGATTTTCCAGTACTACAGCTGAGATAAACTTGCCAGTTAACTTTTTAGATTCAGTGCAGCCCCCTCTTCTGAGGATTGAACAAATGTAAGGGATTGTTTCTTTTTCCTTTTTTTTTTTTTTTTTTTTTTTTCGGTTGAGACGGGGTCTCTGTCACCCAGGTTGTAGTGCAATGCTGCAATCATAGTTCACTGCAGTGAGTCACGTTTCCCAGCTAATTAAAAAAAAAAATAGAGGAGTCTCACTATGTTGTCCAGTCTGGTCTTGAACTCCAGGCCTGAAGTGATCCTTCTGCTTCAGTCTCCTAAACAGCTGGAGTTATAGACTAGAGCCACTACACCTGGCCCTGAGAGGCACTGTTTCTAAATCTTTGTGGTTACTTATTACTTGACTTTGTCTCAAGTATTTTCTTTATAATCTTTGAATGGAAAATAGGGAAATTGTGTTTTGATCTACTACATGAAAACTTAGATCTAAAAACCAATTTACTTTTTGCTTTACTGTTTTTGTAACTTGAGTCCCTGGGAAATAGACTCTGAGATGCCCATTTGGATGCAGGAGGTTTACTGGGGAGTGCTCTTGGCAACACTGGTAAGGAGTAAGGAAAGCAAAATTGGGCAGTGGGAAAGTGGAACTGCAGTGCAATTGCAACTGAGGCTTCAACTGGTTAATAAAGAGCTCAGGATCCCAGCTGAGGCAAGAAAGCAGGCTGCACCCTACAACCAGTAATTAGATGTAGACTGCAACTGGAAAGGAGGTGCAAACTTGGGCAAGGCCGTTTCCTGTGGTAGACGGCAGTTTCTGTGAGCAATGAGCAGCCGACTCACTGGACAGCTGGGGGAATGAGCGCCTTAGTTCTGAAGGGGGTCTCAGCTGCACATTACAGTGTGCTCTACAGATGTGTTAGTCCATTCCAGTCATCTTAAATCTGGTTATTTTCTGAGCATGTATTAAATTTCAAACAATTTCTCTTCTAAGACTTTTTTTTTTAAAAAAAAACTCACTTTTGTGCTGGGCACTGTGGCTCACATCTGTAATCCCAGCACTTTAGGAGGCTGAGGTGGGCAGACCACAAGGTCAAGAGATCGAAACCATCCTGGCCAACATGGTGAAACCCCGTCTCTACTAAAAATATGAAAATTAGCTAGGCATGGTGGAGTGTGCCTGTAGTCCCAGCTACTCGGGAGGCTGAGGCAGGAAAATCACTCGAAGCCGGAAGGTGGAGGTTGCAATGAGCCGAGATGGTACCACTGCACTCCAGCCTAGCAATAGAGGGAGACTCCATCAAAAACAAAACAAAAAACAAACAAACAAAACCCAGCTTTTTAAGCTTTTAAATTCAGGTTGTACAGGTACATGTGCAGGTTTGTTAATAGGTAAACTTGCATCATGGGGTTTTGTTAAGATTTTGTGATGAAGACACCAGAAGCCATTGAAACAAAAGCAAACATTGACAAATAAGATCTAATTAAACTAAAGAGCTTCTGCACAGCAAAAGAAACTGTCAGCAGAGTAAACAGACAACCTAGAGAATGGGAGAAAATTCTTGCCTGTATGCATCTGACAAAGGTCTAACATCCAGTATCTATTAGAAACTTAAATTTACAAGATAAAAACAACTCCATTAAAAAGTGGACAAAGGACATGAACAAGACACTATTCAAAAGAAGACATATATGGAGCCAACAAGCATATGAATAAAAAAGCTCAACATCACTGATCATTAGAAGCATGCAAATCAAAACCACAATGGAATACCATTTCACACCAGTCAGAATGGCTATTACTAAAAAGACAAAAAGTAATAGGTGCTAGCGAGGTTGCAGAGAAAAAGGAACACTTATACGCTGTTGGTGGGAGTGTAAAGTAGTTCAACAATTGTAAAAACCTCACTTTTTATTAGTATTTATTGTTCATGACAAGAGATTAGGAATCATTAATTTGTGAAACTAAACTGTCTTCTGATTCCAGATGCCATAATTTATCTTGTGAGCCTGAAGTACATAGTTTATATTTTCCCCATCTTTCTTGTTACATTGTCTAATTTCTAATCCAGTAAAGGCTTTTGCCTTTGCAGGACCAAACCCTTGATGATACATTTTGTTATTAATAGTGTTAGTAAATCAGATGGCTGGAAGAATAGGATTATTTTACTTTTTTCAGAGAATATTTTTAGAAAGTAATCTTACAAGATGGCATGCAGTTGACTGACCCCATGTTTCCTTAATTTCCTACATTTTCTGCTCTCCCATCATCACTGAATTAAAAAAACGTAGTGTGTACATTCAACATTTTGCTTGAGATATGCCAGGAGAATAGAGAAATAATCTTTTTCATCCTCCTGAAAAGTCCTGAAAAGCAAGACCCCTTTGATTTTTATCAAATGTATGTAGTTACAGTGTATGTCAAATAATGTCATATGAAATTAAGTTTTACTTTATATTTAAAAATGAAGTGATTCTAATTATCCATTAGCTTTCTCCCCATCAAAAAAGCTAGCTAATTGATTAAATACATTCATGCTATTTTCATTTCATGGCGAAAGTTATCTTGTAAACAAATAGCTGCTCTCCTAAGCACGATCATGTATCAATTACTTCTGCAGAGAATTCTGCTGACCACTGTCCCTATTAACCAGGTTAAGTCTTTTTTATGTCCTATAACAATACATTATACAAACATGGGCTGCATGATGGTGCTTATGCTAGAAAATGTTTCTTCAAATCATAATTCGAAGCAGAAGGTATGATAAGATGTTGTGAAGAAAGCCAATAATGGCCATTATAATTGAAGAGAAAATTCTCTGCAAAATATTAGAGCTAATCAGCAGTAAAACAGGGATACCCTAAATTAACAACAAAAAAATTGTATACCCAGAGAAGATTGTAACTACATTGTGAGATCAGTCTCTTCTCATCATGATGATGCTCCAAGTTCACAATGTTTATATATCATGCTCTGGGAAAGCATTTTCTCTCATGTAAATTTGTTTCTATTTGAAAAATTAAACTTGTCTTATATGAGCTTTGAAGTAAATGAATTCTTATTTTAAGATCTCACTTTTTTTTTTTTTTTTTTGGTTGTAGTTTGTTTTTTTAAAAAAATGTCTTACTGTGCTAATTCCATGATGTATAAATCATTTTAGGTCATATCTAAGAGAAGAAGCTGTTAGTAGATCAAGAAATGGCTATGGAACCAAGGAAGAAGGATAGGAAGAACAGGAGGGGAAGTGAAAGAAAAGACAGAGAAACTTGGAGAACAGTAAACAGCAGAAGACATCTTGGAGACCAAGACCATAAATGGTGCTAAGAAAAAGGCAACTCTCTACCAGGTGAGGCAGTCTAGCTGATGGAAAGAGTTCTGACCTCTGTCCACATAGGGGCTTAGTTTCTTATTATGCAGCTGTCAGTTAACTGATATTTACTGAGTCCCTGTTATGTGCTAGGCATTGTGGAGATAATGCTGAGACCTACAGTGTCCTTGACAAGTTTCTTGAAAGCTTGGAACCTCTTTTCCACCAAGGATATGATAGTGTTTATCATATGGGGTTCTTAGAAGGAGTAGGAATGACAAACATACGTCATATGACACACTTATTTATTAATGGCATTTCTAATTTTATTAATATTTTCAGCTGACTAACTTCAGCATGCTATTTGTATCTAAACTTCAGGGATCTCACCTTTCCTCCATCCATTCCCAATTGATTATTGAATGATCTTTAACATGTAAAGAAAAACTGTTTTGTTTTTTTTTCTCAGTTTAGGGTGTGCATTTCCTGGCCCTTTTGCTTCCTTTCCCTGTTGAATGAGCAGATACCTCAAATATAATCTGCCCCCCAGTGTCAAATTTTCTCTACACACAAATCCCAAATCTGCTTCTTTTTCTGAGTGTGTTTTCTGTGCAGTTAATAGCACTGCCACACACAGAGTTACCCCAGCCTGAAACCAAGCGCACCACTATCTCTGCCTATCCATCCTACTACCTTTACGTCCTCGGCTCTCATTCCTGCCTCGACATCTCCATCACTACATCCTGGTTCCTGCCTCAACAACTCTCATTCAAGACCACACTCAGGTATGTGGCCACCACAGGCAGATGAGTTGTTTGGGGACCCTACTAACTGTTATTTTGCATTTATTTTCACTTGTTTTAGAGGATGGGGTTGTATGGGAGAGGACTGGAGGAAGGAGAGCTGTTGGTATGCATGCTTGCTGTAGGATCTGATGCCATTCCATGCTGCTCCACATTTCCATACCCCACTTAGCACAATAAAATTCAGCAATAAACTCAGACCACCCCCATACATGCCTTAGAAGGCCGTTCATGGTTCAAGCATGGCCCTCAGGGATCTCACTACATAGCCGTTCTCCAAATGCTTGTTCCAACTTCACTTAATCCTGTTGCTGGGAAGAGTTTGGATAAATATTTTGTTTTCCCCATCTTATAAAACTTCTAGTGGATGTATTAACACCTGGAGTAGACTATTAAACTGCCCACTAGTATACATTATCCTTTTTTATTCTTTTGCCATGTTTTTAAAAATCAGAGATACCATTACTGTGAGATGTATTATGTTTTATTTCATCAGTAAGAAAGAAAAAACCCCAAACAAAGGTGGTACATCAAAGGCTGCACCTCAGTGGAGGAGAAACAGAAGTATGCCTGCCATCCAGCAGATAACTCCTCAAGATAATAATCTCATATCCTTTAGATATTGCTATGATTTGAATGTTTGTCCCCTTCAAAACTCAGCTGAAATTTGTTTGGTTGCTCTCGTGGCGATGTGAGGTGAGGAGAGCTTTGGGAAGGGATAGGACCATGAGAGCATTGTCCTCATGGGAGGGTTGAATGTTATTATAAAAGGGCTAGTTTGGCCCCTGTTCCTTTACTTTGTTTGGTCACACAGGGAATGTAATTTAAAGTCATCCCATGTTGGGAATGCCCCTAGATTACTGGAAGAAACAGATGCAAATCAGCTCTGGAAAAACACAACTTCAGTCTAGGCTGAGAGTGACTGTAAAATGAATGCTGGTTTCAGAGATGTCAAAATGTGAGTATGTGTGTCTTCGAGTAGACAGTGGCAGTGATGTTTCAGCTGGACCTATGGTCGAGTCGCTAGAGTCTGCATTTCCCAGTCTTCTCTGTGGCTGTGTAAGGTTGAGTGACTTACTAGGTTGAGAGCAGACTGGGATTCCCTGGTTGGGAACTGGTGAACACCTGGACCCAGGGTGGAAGGTCCTGGTTGGAGATAGTTGAGCTCACCACCCCAGCCTGGATTCCTGGATGACATGAAACTTGGAGACAACTGTTTGTCCCAGACCAGGGGTTTACTGGATAGCTAAGGATCAGACAGCAAATATTTTAGGCCTTTCTAGCCTTAATGTCACGGTTGTACTACTCAACTAGCTATGTAGAAGAAAAGCAGGTATAGCCACCAGGGAAATGAGTGGGCATGGTTGGGTTTCTATGAAACTTTATTTATAAAACAGGCAGTAGTTTGGATTTGACCCCCAGGCTGTCATTGATGACCCCTGCCCTAGCCTATTCACACAAGTTTAGAATACTATGAGACATTTAAGCTACTGTTTTAGGTTTTCTTGTTATAGCATCTTAGCCTACATCCTAATTAATGCAGCCTTCATTATGGGTTGACTCCCCAAGAAGTTTTTTAACTGGCCCAACTCTTCACCCGCTTTTAATCTCACCTAAGCTGGCGGTGGTCTTCACTTGCTGTCCCTGCTTCTGGTCTCGAAATCCTGTGTGTCACTCTTCAACCTGACCCCAAGATGGGTCTTTCAAGAAATATTCTCATTTTCTCCTCCTTAAAATGCTCTGAGTTTACTCATTGCAAAGACTAAAATATAATCTCATAGAGAGCCAGAGGAGACCTGATCTAACTACCTGCTGCCTACCTTTTCAGTTCATGCTACAGGCAACGCTAATCTTCAGAGAGGTTTTTGTTTGTCCGCCCCTCCTGGCTGGAATGGCCTTCCCAACAAGGGCCTTTCATTGCACTTCCGTTATCTCTCACAGCTCAGTTCCACGTCTCCTTCTCTAACAGGCCCTTCTAGATTCTCTCCCTGCTAGGAAATGAACTACCTGCAAGCAGAGACTGTATTTTATAGGTTTTCATTCCACTAGGATCTAGCACAGAACAACATCCGTACATGCCTAAATGATTGAGCACCTCTTTCCTCTTCTGTCACTACTAGAAAATAAAAGGATCTCTTTACTTAGGAAATATATGATATTTATAAAATCAGAGAGCAGAATAGGTCATTCTATTTGGAAAGGATAAAAGGAGGCCCACAGACCAACTATGCTGCACAAGGTTTATTTATCTGTAATTTGTTCATTTTCATATCCCACTTGTGAAAGCCTACCCGCCTCCTTTCCAGCATCCATTCCTTCTGCCCATCTCTACAGCAAAAATCCTCTGCTCTGTATTTACTCACTTTTGCCTTCATGTCTGCAATGGCCTTCTTTGAAACACTGTTGCCAAAACTACCATCTGCTTAGAGGAAATCTCGCTCTGTCTTGTCTTTTCTTTTCTTATATTGTGTGTCCAGTTGCTCTGCACAAAGACACAGTCACCTTGCTCTTTACTGGGTGGACTGGATGGAATGGGATGTTAAGTGAAATGTTTGTCTGAGATACTTTTAGAAGTTAGTTGTGTGAGAGACCATCCCATTTTGTAATGTTTGTCAAAAGTGAGGTGGTCAGAGCTGGATTGACTTCTAAACCTTGTTCACACATCAAAGGGGTGAGATGTTAGGAAATTAGAGTTGGGAAGGCTGTGTACAAAGAGCTGTAAGTGTGCTGTGAGTCTGCCCTTCCCCTAGGAACCCCACCAGGGAGGAGTGAGCGGTGCCTGCCCCATCTCCAAGCCCTGCAGAAGCCTCAACAGCCCATCCCCAGCTAGCTAAATATGTACCTCCTAGAGTTATAGGGTCAGCATGGCCTGAAGACTGACACTCTCCTGAGTAAAGGTCCGGAGGCTGGCTGGGCAGAGGTATGAAGAAGAGCAGCATCAGGATTGGACCAGACCTCCCAGAGGTTGTCAGGAAGTTTCCCCTGGATGATAACCAGGTGCAAATGAAAGATGAAGCAGGGGGGTCACCTCAAGCCTTATCTAAGGGGATTACCTGGAAAGGCTAATATAGCTCTGCAAAGAGAAGCTGTAGATGAACTAGATTCCTAGAAACCTCAAACAACCAGCTGGGATAGAGATGCACAGGCCTGGGTCAAGAGAATTGCAGGGAGAGATCCACATTGATGAGGAGGTTGCCAAAAACTTCCACAAAAGCACCAGCAAGAGAAACAGTCAGCTCTACATCACTGCCAGGCTCAGAATGCATGAAGCCAGCTTACAACAGTGCCAACTGGGAGAACTTTCCTTCCCCGCTTACCTCCCCTCCCTCGCTCTTCAGCAGCAGAGGGGCAGTCCAACACCAGGCAAGCAATCTGGCAGAGGCAGAGGAGAAATGCTAGCTGGTGAAAGGGGAGAGATGCTGACGCTGCCCTTTCTGCAGGACTGGAGTCCTGCCCAGGACCAGGCCTCGCTGGAGGAAGGGGAGAAGGCACAATTTGTATGTCCTGTGCCTGCTTAGATTCTGATAAAGTCCTGTAGTTTCAGATTTCTGCATTGAGGATGTTTGCATTCACTATGAGTGACCAGAAAAATCATAAGGACAGCCTGTATTTTCACCAAGGGCCTGGGGGAAGCACAGAACAAAAACATAAAACTGTTTTATGATTACATTTCCCCACATCAGGCTTGTTCACTCAATCAATTAAATTTTTTCACCTGTATTTTTAACTTGTGAAGACAGTAACGTGTTTATTATTCCCAGTAATTTCTTGCCAAAATTAAAGGAAAGAAAGATGGAAGGCAAAATAATGTGCTTTTAGAACTGAGGTTGTATTGGGAACAAAGGCATTATTTGCTAAGAGTAAAAAAAAATATGCAGGGAAAGTAAGAACTGAGCCTATTTTCTTGTTAACTACTTTCTCATACACTTTAATAGTATTTCATAAAAGTATCTTTCACACTTCAGACATCTCAAAATTAGGAATATGTGTTATTTTTCGCTCCTTCTCTGCAGCTTTTTGGTGAGGAAAGCAAACAGAATCACAGGGAATCTATTCAGGTAGTGAGAATCTCATGAAGTACAGAAGACACTCTGGTTAGGAGCAAAACCTCCTGAGGAGTTTGGCTTTAAACCCCATGTTCTCCCTGGCAAAGTGTCTTGATTTGAAATCCATTTTAAGCTAAAATGCCAAGGGGATAAAATATCTTCAGACCTAGCTTTTAGCTGGGCTGCTAAAAGGAGCCAAGTGGAAGAAAACTGGCAACCTGGAATATTACAGCTGAGGTTGGCTGGTGGCTGCACAGGTGTGGGCGTGACAGTGATGTCAATGGATAGAACATCACCTTCATTTTGCCACAAATCAATTGCAAAATGCCTTCCTTTTACAAGGTATGTGTGGAATAAATATTCCTGTTGCTATGGAATTAAATATGGGCAAGCTTGGCTTCAAGAACTGAGGTCTTGATTTTAGAAAGCAGGCTCAGTGGGAGTGAGTCAGAAAGAAACAACTTTGTGAAAGGGCTACTTATTTGTAGCAGGACTGTACCACCCCCACCATGCTCTGAGAATGCAATGGGAGGCCTCTTCTATCTCTAGCATGTCGATTCTGGAGCCTGCCAACACCCATCCTTCCTAAGACATACATCTTACCTCTAAACTTATTCTTATATCAAGAAATATTTGATGGTACTGGGCAAGATGGCTGACTATGCAGACAGGTGGAACAGCTGCCACTGAGGGACCCGGATGACTGGCACACTTTTAACAAATCTTCAGAGGGAAGGCACTGAGAGTTGATGGAGGGAAGACTCAGAAACTGCGCTGAAAGTGGAGGAAGCTGGGAACTCTGCGTGGGGTTACCATGTACCTGGACTTGTGCCTGGTCTGCAATGGCTCCACAGGAATGAGTCAGTTGAACTGGTAAGGAGCAGCCCACTCTTGCCATAGGCCTCTGGAATCCTGGCAGGAGGAATCCTCTTGACCACCACAGATGCTTGCCGCACAGAGTTGGCAAACAGGCGGCTTAGAGAAGTGATAGGGGCAGGACACCAGCCGATGTGGAGCCCAAAGGTTTGGTGCAGCAGCATCTGTAGCAGAGTACAGCCAGGGACACCCATCCCCCTAGGCTTGAATTGCTCCCAGAAGAGACTCTGGCTCTAGAGGAACTGTCAAAGCTGAACTCTGCAGGATGGTCTTGCCTATCAGATGGGGCCAGTCCAACCTGAGCACTCGTGATCTGCTGGCCTCTCCCCAGACCCCAGGCTGGCCACACCTGCTTGTCAGGCAGCTTCAGGTGCCCTGAGGGCCTGCATCATAACTCCTATGCTGGCAGACAGTGCCTGACAAGCAGAGAGCCCCAGTGGGGTGGCCCACATGGCCGTGTACCAGCCCACCCACTCCCTCCATCTGCTGTAGCTTCCCCCAGGCCCATGGACACCTTTCACATTCTTTTGCTGTGGTATGTATGCAGGGGGGCAAAGGGGTTGCCTTTTCTGCCCTGCTTATGTGCACGTGTGCATGCACCCTGTCCTGCCACTGTTGTGGTGGGAGTACACTCCGCACTCCTTTCTCCAGAGGAATTGCCATTGCAGTTGGAGACTGGGTGGGCACAGAGCCAGTCAGCCCCACCCCCACCAGTACCCCATCCCTGCACCAACACTGCCTCAGGAGTGCAACTAGGAACAGAGAACAGCAGACTCTTTCCATCTCTGAGTGACCACCCCTGCATGTGGTTCACAGAGAGTGCACACAGACCTGTGCCTACCAATGCCCTGACCCTGTGCCAGCATCACCCCCAGTGCATTTGTGGGAAGTCACCAGCAGGGGCACCCTGCCCCCTGAGCTATGCTGCCTCTACCACTGTTGTGAGTGCCCACATGGAGGCAGGCACCCTGGCACCCACTAGCACACTGCTGCAGCCAGTGAGAGTGTACCCTGCTGTGCTACCACTCGCACTGCTGCTGGCATATGCAAACAGGGATGGACCCAACTGCCATTACACTACAAAACCCTTTGGCTGACACCACACATTGAGATGTAGTGACCACTGGTCCAAGAGCATCTTGGCTCTCATAGTGCAGGTAATTCCTAACCTCAAGGAGTCAGAGAACAAAGTCAGGCTTCATGCAAGTCCCCCAGAGTTAGAGCACACAGTCTAGGAGTTGGGAGGTGAGTGTTGGCACCCTAAAATCTTCCAGAAATGAAGCCAGTTGACTGACCACCTTATAGCACAATTAAACCCTCAAGGTCATCAAATAAGATTTAAAAAATAAAAACCATCTAAAGGTCACCAACTGCAAAGATTGAAGAAACATCGGCCCACAAAGATGAAAAGAACCAGCACAAGAACTCTGACAACTCAAAAAGCCAGAATGCCTTCTTTCCTCCAAACAACCATGCCATTTCTCTAGCAAGGGTTTGGAATCAGGCTGAGATGGCTGAAATCACACTGAATGGGCAAAAGCTAGACACATTCCCCTTGAAAACCAGAAAAAGACAGGAATTCCCTCTCTCACCACTCGTATTCAACATGTTACTAGAAATCTTAGCCTGAGCAATCAGGCAAGAGAAAGAAAGAAGAAACATTCAAATAGAAATAAAGGATGTCAAACTATTTCTGTTTGCAGACAATATGATTCTATACATAAAAAATCCCATAGTCCATGTCCCAAAGCTTTTTGATCTGACAAACAACTTCAGCAAAGTCTCAAGATATAAATCAGATACAAAAATCAGCATTCCTATACACAAACAACCATCAAGTCAAGACCAAATTAGGAATGCAATTCCATTCAAAATTACCACAAAAAGAATAAAATACCTAGGAATACAGCTAACAGGGAAGTGAAAGACCTGTATAAGAACTACAAAACACTGCTGAAAGAAATAAGAGATTATACAAAGGAATGGAAAAACATTCCATACTAATGGAGGAAAAGAATCAATATCATTAAAATGGCCATATTGCCAAAAGCAGTTTATAGACTCAAAGCTATTCCTATAAATGGAATTCTTCACAGAACTAGAAAAAGCAATTTTAACATTTTTATGAAATCAAGAGAGCCCAAATAGCCAAGGGAATCCTAAACAAAAAGAACAAATCTGGAGGCATCATGCTATGCAACTTCAAACTATACTACAGAGCTACAGTAACCAAAATAGCATGAGACTGGGAGAAAAACAGACACATAGATCAATGGAACAGAATAGAGAGCCCAGAAATAAGGCCTATACCTACAACTCTTTGACAAACCTGACAAAAACAAGCAATGGAGAATGGACTCCCTCCATTCACTAAACGGTGCTAACGTAACTGGCTAGTCATATGAAGAAGATTAAAATAGGACCCCTCCCTCACACCATATGCAAAAACCAACTTAAGATGGATTAAAGATTTAAATGTAAAACCCCAAACTATAAAAACTCTGGATGACAACCCAGGCAATACCATTCTGGACATAAGAACAGACGAAAGTTTCATGACAAAGACGTCAAAACCAATTGCAACAAAGGCAAAAATTAACAAATGGAATTTAATGAAACAACAAAACTTCTACACAGCAAAAGAAACTATCAAAAGACTGAATAGACAACCTACAGAATAGGAGAAAATTTTTGCAAATATGCATCTGACAAAGGTCTAATGTCTAGCATCTATAATGAACTTAAACAGATTTACAAGAAAAAAAAAACCATTAAAAAGTGGGCAAAGGACATGAAGAGACATTTTACAAAAGAAGACACACATGCAGCCAACAAGCATATGAGAAAAAACATGACTGATTGTAAGAAAAATGCAAATCAAAACCACAATGAGATACCATCTCACACCAGTCAGAATGGCTATTACTAACAAAAGGAAAGAAAATAAAGAACAAAAAAAGAAAAAGATAAGAGATGCTGGCGAAGTTGCAAGGAAAAGGGGACACTCATCCACTGTCGGTGGGAGTGTAAATTAGTTCAATCATTATGGAAAGTAGTGTGACAATTCCTCAAAGACCTATTAACAGAACTACCATTCCACCCAGCAATCTCAATACTGGATATATAATCAAAGGAATATAAATCGTTTAATTATAAAGACACATGCATGCATATGTTCATTGCAGCACTACTCATGATAGCAAAGACATGGAATCAACCTAAATGCCCGTAAAGGGTAGAGTGGATAAAGCAAATGTGGTACATACAAACTACGGAATAAGATCGTGTCCATTGCAGGGACTTGGATGGAACTGAAGGCCATTATCCTTAGCAAACTAATATAGGAACAGAAATCCAAATACCACATATTCTCACTTATAAGGGAGAGCTAAATGATGAGAACACATGGACACATAGAGGGAAATGACAGACATTGGGGCCTATTGGAGGGTGGAGGGTAATGAGGATCAGGAAAAACAACTAATGGGTACTAGGCTTAATACTTGCATGATGAAATAATCTGTACAACAAATCCCCATGACAGAAGTTTACCTATATAACAAACTTGCCTATGTAGTCCTAAACTTCAAAGTTATTTAAAAAATGTAATGCGTGCATAGCTTATTCTTTATTTAAAAGAATAATAGAAATATAATAAGCACCCATGTATATCCAGCCATCTCAAGAAAGAGAACATTGCCAATGTTTCTGAATTCCTCTGTCTACCTTAACTGATCATCTACCATTCTTTGCCCATATTCCAGATGGGATGACTGTCCAGAATTTTTATCCATCTCTTGCTTCTCTTTTTAGTTTTACCTCATATACATAGTCCACTAATTGACACATTGTTTAGTTCAGCCTGTTTTTGAGGTTTATATAATATATAGTCTGTGCTCTTTTGTATCTTGTACTCATACATAAATTTTTGAGATTCATCATGTTAATATTGGCAGTTGGCCTTTTGTTCACCACTGTATAATGTCCTTTAGCATGAATATATCAAAACTAATATATTAGTTCAACTCATGATTGACATCAAGATATCATCCTTTTTTTCTATTATGAATGCTGATTCTATGATTTTTTTTTCTTATTTTTTATTTTTTGTAGAGATGGAAGTCTCACTTTGTTGCTCAGGCTGGTTTTGAACTCCCGACTTCAAGCAATCCTCCCACCTCAGCCTCTCAAAGTGCTGGGATTATAGTTGTAAACCACCACAGACAGCCTATGATCATTCTTGAACAGTACTTCTGCAGTGCTTCTGAAAGAGTTTCTCTTTGGTTACAATCCTTGAAATAGCATTACTGAGTGGAAGAGTATATGCATGCCCAATTTACGAGGGGACACCGAGATATTTTTCAGTGTATTTTCCTATTAATCACTCCATCAGAGCCTAAGAATTCCTATTGCTACATATCCTTCTTTACTGTCAGTACTGTCAGACTTTACATTTTTATTAATCTGGTGGGTATGAAATCTATATCTATATCTATATGCATATTTCACAATATATTTGTAAAATGATAATTTCACAATAAATGCATGAAATTATACCTGATATTTAATTTGCATTTTCTGACTAATCCAATTCCTGACTTCATAAGGCTATCTTTTTAGGAATTGTTGGTACTCTTCTCCTCTTTTGTGAAATTCCTATTCCTGCCTTTCCTGCTTTTATAGTTTATTGTTCTCATTATGTAATAGACATTTCTAATTTGCAGTACTTTGTCAAGTGTATTGCAAATGTTGTCTCCCAGTTAGTGACCTGGCTTTTAACTTGGTGATGTCTTTGATGACTAGGATATATAGAAGTTGTTAAAAATGTAATGTATTCAAATATACCAATGCTCTCCTTTATGGTTTGCATTAAGAAACCCTTCCCTTCTCTGAAGTCATAAATCAATTCTCCACTAAATATTTAAAAAATTACATTTAACATTTCAATTTCTTAATCCACATGGAATGTGTGAGTGTGTGCATGTTTGTGTGTGTGTTTGTGTGTATGATACTCAAAATGCTTGATCAGGTACACATTTCATATCTGAATAGGCTGGCTGTCCTGGCACCAGGATTCGGGACAGGAAGCCTGGCATGCCATCAGAGTGCATCTGTGTATCTCTTTAGTGGTAGTCCATCAAGCATTCCATAGTCCTGATTAACATAGTGTTAGAAACCTGGATACCTGGGG